AGCACAAGCACAAGCACATGTTGTGCAACTAGATATTCTTCATAGATTTACTCATGTGTATTGTTTGTTTTCATTTTTCCTTTACTTGGTATAAGTATATCTTTTAGATAGATTCCTCTTTAGCTACTCTACTGGATACTTTTATTTTGATAAAAAAAAATAAAAATTTACATCTAAAAATATAAAAAGAAAATTCTTACAATTTTAAAAATATTTATTAAAAATAAAAAAATTAATTGCTAAAAAATTAAATCCAAGAAATTAAAACGAAACGCACATGCCTCTTCGAAACCATATCATCCAACAAATAGAATCCAATTGTTTTGCTTCGCACGTGAATCACTTCTTTTCAATTGGCCATGACACGTTGGTTGCTGCTGAATAGAGTTTGGGTTCAATTTGACTTATTTTTCTTCATTTTTTTCTTAAATTATCAATTAGCCTCAATCTTCATCTCAATTTCAAATTATTGTTTAAAAAGTAAAATTAAATGATTTAATTCATAGATAAAAATAAAATGAGAGAATTGATTTAATAAAAATGTATTAGTGATTACAAAGAATAAAATAAGTATACATTTTTAACCATGCATCAAAATGCCATGATGTCTATCCTATGTACCCTATTACAAAAATATGTAATTTTATTATAAAATAAAGTTTTGTAATATCAATCACGAAATGTGTAAACTCGCTATAAATTAGCATAACAAAAATATTCAAAAATTTGTCAATTTATGACAAGATTACGTATTTTTGTAATTAATGTTTCAAAATTTAATAATAAAATTACACATTTTTATAATAAAATGCATATAATATACGCTATTTGGGATGTAACCATAACATTTCCCTTTAATGAGAAGGAGCTCAATTATTAGACTCGTAAAAAAAAAAAATCATTGTTTTATTGTCTAAAATTTTAATTTTTCAAATATTTAATTACATAAAATCTCATTTTTTATGTCTAATTTGAGATTTCCAAAAATCCTAATCCGATACTGATTTTAATTTAGCAAATTTATAATTTAATTTTTATAATTTTAATTTTATCAATCTAAATACATTTTTAATTACGTTTAAAATTTAAAAAAAAAAATTCATTTGTGATGTATAATCTCGTATGGGGTCTAGCTACTTTGGACTGAAGAGTGATGTTGGGTCGCAGTAGGCCCAACCCCAGACCTATCTTAATAGTCTGGTAAAATTTGTAGAGTTCGTTGAGTGTATTATTCTTAAAAAACTCGCCAAATATCAATAACCATTTGATCAACTTACATTTGTGTTTGCGATTTATTTTTAAAGCCATAATTACTGTTGAAACAAATGCAATTTGTTCAAATGGCTATCGATATCTAACAACGCGATTTTTTTCAGGAATAATGTACTTAACGAACTCTACATATTGAACTGTTTGAATTATCGAAATAGATCCAAAATTGAGCCCACCATGGCCTAACAACATCATTTAATTTGATTTCGGACTAGCAAGAATGTGACGATTTCATATTACAGAAATGTTAAAAATTACAAAAAATTTACCAAATTTTTTATTAAATATCTCACATGTATAAGATCCATACCATATAAGTCCTATATGAGTATGTAAGATATTTGATAAAAAAATTTAATAAAACTTGGTCTCTAACATTACTTTTTTGTATTATGGCCTCTTTTGACAATTAAATTAAAAACCAATTTATTATCTTTTTTAAATTACATCATTTTAAAAAAAAAAAATTACACATTAGTTTCAAAACAAATTTAAAAAAAATTAAAACACTAATTTTTAATTTACATCCCAAAATAGACCTGTGTCGTGATGTGCTTAAATGGACGAAACTGGGGAAAAGTGTAACCTGAATGAAGACAACTCCAGCATTTGTGTTATTTTTTTTAAAGAAAAAATGTTAACCGACCAAATGATTATTTAATAAAATAATGCGAGGATTAAATGGATGAACAATTTCAACTCAGGAAACAGAGGGATTTGGATCATCTGTATTCTGTCCATATTTCAACTCCATTCTCAGAGAGAGAGAGAGAGAGAGAGAGAGAGAGAGAGATGGATAGGAGAGAAGTGAAGGAAGAAGAAGAAGAAGAGCATGAGATTGTGATAGTCGGCGGTGGGATTTGTGGTCTTGCCACCGCCCTTGCTCTACACAGGTTACTCCTCATCCTCACACTATTTTTTTTTTTTTTTAAATGGTAAATGGAGATGTATTGTGATATTTAATGAGGAAATTGATCAATAAAAAAACAAAAAAATGCTATTGAAAAGTGCAGGAAGGGTGTGAGAAGTGTGGTTCTGGAAAGATCAGAGACATTGAGGGCAACTGGTGCAGCTATTGGGATCTTGGCTAATGGTTGGCTCGCCCTTCATCAGCTTGGCCTCGCTTCTCTTCTCAGACAATCTTCTCTTCCTCTTCAGCGGTATATATATATATATATATATTCACACACTAGATGTTTGAATTTTCCATGTGTGTTTGAAATTCATAGTTATAAGGATTGGGCTTCCTCCCTGTCCAAATCTCGACCGGAGGCTGCTATCTACGGGTTTGATTTTGATTTTAATGATTCGAACCCATCATCTTATTAGATTTAGATTTTGCGTGTATGTAGATTAGGTCCATATGATATTCGTAGGCAATTAATTTTATCGAATTGGTCTCTAAAAAAATTAACGGTGAATGTGTTTTAAAAATAAATTATCTATTTTTGTGATAAAATAAACGGATTATCTAATTTTTTTTTTATATAACAAAATGAACAGTTTAGATTATTGTAACGGACCATGATAGCCCTGTGAGCCCTTACAATATCCTTTTGGACTGGAGAAAAATCGATCCCAATAATATATATACATACCCCAGTAATGACGTTTGTAGTTTTTATTTATGACTTATTGTGTTGTATTTGTTATAATTTGGTTACAACCGAAAATGTTTTTTATTATACCTTTATATGGTATTTGGTTATCACTCATTAAATTTTTGATAATAACTTCCTTACGAAAATGAATCACCCATAGAATAGATATACAAATTTACATCTTTTTTTCGCCCTACCACATACTGATTGATAAGTCAATGATTTACTTTGTGTTTTTATATTCCGCATATAAGGATCCCAGAAGTGTTATTCATTAGAGAAATGCTATTCCCATTTCAATTTTTTGTAAATGCTCTGAAAGAAAGAAAAGAGTGATGGAGGACATGAACAAAATAGAGGACCAAAAAATAAAATTATATGATTATTATTTATTATGACTTGGATAACTCCAACATGGAGCCTTATGCAAAAGCTTATTATCTTATCAATGAAGTAAAAGCGAGATTTATGTTAAAATAATATCACAGTCAACAACCTCCAATTTTGATGGGAACTTTTTCTGATTTTCCATGATTATTTTTTTTGTTTTGTTTTATGCAATTTTTATTTATTTTGTAACTTTGACTTAAATTAGTAGTTAGTGAATGGTGGTTGATAAGTAGTGAAAAACGAGTTACAAATACAATAACAATACTATACTGCTTGAGCACCTTTGCTATTTTAGCATAATAAATATTAACGAATGGAGCAACTCATAACAAGTCTGTTTATGTGCACTTTTACTGTGATAAAATAACTCCTAAAAAAAAAATTTTCTACACCTTTGGAAATGCTCTTAGGTATGAAGCTTAAAGCAACACATTGGGTATGGAGATCCAAGTTTTGTATTGGGGAGCACCAAAATGATGCTCTTAGGTATGAAGCTTAAAGCAACACATTGGGTATGGAGATCCAAGTTTTGTATTGGGGAGCACCAAAATGATGCTCTTAGGTATGAAGCTTAAAGCAACACATTGGGTATGGAGATCCAAGTTTTGTATTGGGGAGCACCAAAATGATGCTCTTAGGTATGAAGCTTAAAGCAACACATTGGGTATGGAGATCCAAGTTTTGTATTGGGGAGCACCAAAATGATGCTCTTAGGTATGAAGCTTAAAGCAACACATTGGGTATGGAGATCCAAGTTTTGTATTGGGGAGCACCAAAATGATGAAAACATAAAACAAAAAGAAAAACAAAGAATAGTAGTACCTTGGTTTTCTCTCACCTTAGTTAAAAATTATATAAGCCTATGAGTAGCAAAATGCAAGTGAGAAAATTTTGAGCAACGCTACATGCATAGAATAAATGCAGAAAATTAGAGCAATAATGCATGCATAGAATAAATGCACAAAAGCATTAATGTGTGTTGGATTCATTTTAGAAGTGGTCCCCACCATACAAGATTTGAATATGGACCAACAATTAAATTTTTGCTCAATTTTCTGTGCACATATCTCTTCTGAAAAATTATTATGCAAACATATTCTTTGTAATTTATTTTTGTTTTTTCTCGAGTGTGTATTTTACATGAATGATTACATAGGTCCTTGAACCACTGGTAGAATTTAATAAAAAAATTTATGCCTAGAGCCAAAATATTAATTACCATTTGATCGCCTAGCTAGGCCGATGCAAGTAACTCAAAAGCTCAAATTGGTTTTGTGGTAGTTCAATTTTGAATAAGAACATAAGCTTGCAATTTTCAATCTCTTTTGTAATTCTTACATTACGACTAAATAATGATGGAATAGGAGGTGATCACACCATAAAACGCTACATGCATAGAATAAATGCAGAAAATTAGAGCAATAATGCATGCATAGAATAAATGCACAAAAGCATTAATGTGTGTGTTGGATTCATTTTAGAAATGGTCCCCATCATACAAGATTTGAATATGGATCAACAATTAAATTTTTGCTCAATTTTCTGTGCACATATCTCTTCTGAAAAATTATTATGCAAACATATTCTTTGTAATTTATTTTTGTTTTTTCTCGAGTGTGTATTTTACATGAATGATTACATAGGTCCTTGAACCACTGGTAGAATTTAATAAAAAAATTTATGCCTAGAGCCAAAATATTAATTACCATTTGATCACCTAGCTAGGTCGATGCAAGTAACTCAAAAGCTCAAATTGGTTTTGTGGTAGTTCAATTTTGAATAAGAACATAAGCTTGCAATTTTCAATCTCTTTTGTAATTCTTACATTACAACTAAATAATTATGGAATAGGAGGTGATCACACCATAACACGGTGCACCCCCTCCTGTGTCCAATTGATCCTCTTGGAGTGGTGACAAACCTCTCATGTGGGAACTTGTTTGGTAGTTACAGGTTCATTTCAATTTGAATTCTATTGGATAAAACACTTGGAAAAGAGTTGCATCCTATTCTATCACACATAACAACTCTCAAAAAGAGTTGTGTCTCTGACGAATGGGTGTGTGGACATTTAAACGGGATGCCTTGGTGAGTTATTTATATCACAAACAGAAATGATAGGTGCACGGAATTAGAAGACAGAACAGTGTTCTAGCGTTTATGTATCACAAATTTCCTCTACTCTCGGATGAGTTTCTGCATGCAACATACACCCTTGCGGGGATTGTGGAACCTTTATGTTGTGTTTGGTTGAGGGATTTGAGGAGGGATTTGGAAAAAGAAATGGAAAAGGTAGGTGAAATATGAATAAAATATATCTAAATTTCACCTAGTTTCACACACCTTTTCCCTTTCCCTTTCCAAATCCCTCCCCAAATCCTCCAACCAAACACACCATTAAAAAATCGAAACACAGATAATTGTGAAGCAAATTTCAAATTATTGCAAAGTAGTTTATGGTTAATGCATGTTTCCAGGCATATATACTACTTCTAACTATATGGCCGTTGCATAAGTATAGGGCTCGAGAGGTATGGCTTGATAAGGGTTCAACCAAAGAAACATCATTTGGGTAAGCTCACATGTTTAATTCTCCTTTTCTTTATTTATTTATTTTATTTTTCTGAATCAGGCTGTTTTTCAATTGGTGGTTCTAATTTATAAAATTAATGAGCCCAAAGTTAATGAGGATATTTGGGACTTAATTACACAAAAGGGATGGAATGAATCCAATTAACAGGGTGTTTTTCAATTGGGGGTTCTAATTTATAAATTAATAAGCCCAAAGTTAATGAGGATATTTGGGACTTAATTACACAAAAGGGATGGAATGAATCCAATTAAATATACTTTAATAAATGCCAAAACAGAAAAATTTTAGCCAGCTTTTGTTAGGATAGGCATGGTGAAGCTCGATGCTTGAAGCGGAGTGACCTTATCAATACACTAGCAGATGCTTTGCCACCACATACAATACATTTTGGGTGCCACATAGTAGGTGTTAAGCTGGATCCTTTAACTTTCAATCCAATTCTCCAACTGCTTGATGGCAGGTGTATTGTTGCCAAGGTAATTAATTAATGTTCATCATCGATCTTCACTCCGTTGCTTTTATATGGCAATTGTGTACAATAACTTACTCTGTAACCAATTTATTATGCATGCACATTCAGCATTATGATCCATCTATTAAGTTATTGAAAATTGTGTTGTACTGCAAACACGCATAGCTAGCCCTTTTATTTTATCCATGTCCTCCAAAGCTTGTATTGAGGAAGGACCTTTAAAGATTATTGAAATTAGTTTCCTGTGTGTTGGTTGGAATAATTTCCTTTACAATACTTAGTAACATCAATTTCTAACTTCATGCGACATGGGAGATGTCTCTTCCTCGTGAAGTCAAACAAATAATGTTGTAATATATATATATATTTGATAGCAAGAAATTGCATATTGGGGTATGAAGAACTCTCTAGAAAACATGTGTTTTTCTAGCTTGTTTAGGTTGCTACTTGTAGCCGAATCGATAAAAAAGAGCTATTATTACATAATTTTAACAATGTCATCCATACAGATTGTAATATTGTGCCTTAGTCAATAGGGGCATTTGAGTAATAGACTGAGATCGTCAAAACAATCAGGTATTTGTATTCATACACCGAAATACACATACAAGCTTGAAGGCTTCATTTAGTTTGTGATAAATCGGTTGAATCAATCTCTATTCATTATTCAACCCAACCATTTGAATAAATTTAGGCTCAAAGCTTGGGAACCTTTTTAAAAGAGCAAGATAAGCATATCTCAAACACAAGAGATGAACTTTTATACTGTGTTTGGTCGGGAGATTTGGAAAGGGAAAGGGAAAGGGAAGAGGAAGGTGAAATATGAATAAAAATATATTTACATTTCACCTAGTTTCAACACTTTTTCCCTTTTCGTTTTCAAATTTCTTTCCAAATCCCTTAGCCAAACACAACATAAAGAGGGAAAATATAAATTGTGTAAGCAAATGTTTAAATCACTTAATCTCAAGGGGTTTGGCTTAGTGGATGAAGAAAGCAACCAAAGGGCTTACCACCCAACAGGTCACAAGTTCAAAACCCACGAAGGCCAAACATCCAAACCTTGAGGCCATTGGAGGTTTGCCCGGTTTTTAACTTCAAGGCCTCGGGATTTAGGCTAAGTTTTGCATCTTTAAAAAAAGTCAAAAAGTCACTATCATATTTAAGTCACATCATCTTATTTAAATCGCATCATCTCTTTACCACATCACTTTAAACCCAATTCATATTTCATAAAAAGTCAAAAAGTGCACGTATTTAGAATATCCCAAATAACCCCTTAGTCGAAGTGTGCATAACCTGGCCTGGACACTTGGATATAAAAAAAAAAAGTT